CCCCGCGAGTCTCCTCGCGTTCTCTGTCCTCCTCCAATGTCTGATGCCCTCGCCGCGCCCCGCGGAAATTGCAGCGCTCTCGGGTTCTCGCCGACGCTGGTTGGCCGGGGAACGCGGGCGCCGCGGGCGCCGCATGCCCGACGCGCGGCGCCTGGGCGCGGGAGCTAGGGCGGGAAATGCGGCCGCCCACGACGATGCGGCCGCCCGCGACGACGCGGGGGCTAGGGCTCGAGGCACCAGACCCGGCTACCTGCTTGTTCGGCTCTGGGCTGGACTGCGTCGCGCACTGCGCACTGCCGCGCTGCTTCTCTGGGCGCGCCCGCCTCTCTGCGGGTCGTCGCCGAACGGGCGCGCGGAGCAACTGGAGGCGATGGTCATCTGGCAGTGCATTGTAATCGTCGCGGGCCTGCAACATCTCCCCCTGCGAATGCGGCGCGGCGCCGCCTCTCCCACCCGACCTGCCTGGCCTCCAACGCCATCGCCGCGCCCCGAGTTCCATGGCGCGGCGCTCCTGCATGAGCTCTTGGACGCGCTGTCCGCCGGGCAGCCGGGCCGATTGTTCGCGAGCGGTGGGCGCGCGTCAATTCGGCAGCCCCTTCGGCCATTCATTGCTTCGCGCATCGAATTGCTCCCAAAGTTAGCATCTGCCGGGCGGCGGAAAGTAGCGCAAGCAAAACTGCCTCGTGCATCTCTGCGCCCGCGCACTGCAATCCCCGCGTCGACCATCGCACGCTGCGCGCCAAAAAATTGCGGCGCTGGCACTCTGCCTGGCGCTTCGTAGATCGCGCCCCGCGCGGCCGGCGTCGGCGGCGCGCGCGGGGGAGAGCAAGTGCCAGTGGATAGGCTCTCGCAGACGTTCGACGTGAAGTGGTCGCTGTCCTCGGGCATGTCGCCGAGCCCCAGCTCGTCGCCGAGCTCGCCGGGCTGGCCATCGAAGCCCGCCCGCTGCTCGAGCGCGACGAGCCCCTCGCAAAACTCCCACGTCTAGTCCTCTATATCGTCGAATGCATCGTTGTCAACGACAGGCGTCGTTGACTGCGCTGGCTCACTTTATGCGTCGAATTGGTCGTACTCGACGTGCTCTACGTCAACGGCGCAGTCGCAATCGCAATCGCTAATTCGCCTAATAATCGGCGCGACCCTGCCAGAAGCGGCGCCCCCATCTCTCTCGCCCCGCCCCTGCCTGCGCAGCTAAGCAGAATGTTTAGTGGGGCCGAACGCATGGCACAGCCTACGACGGCTTTTTTTACCAGCGGGATTCAATGCCCCCCTTGCCACGAGGCAATAGCGCGACGACAGCGACTTGCGCCCATACCTCAATGAGGCATCTCGTCGCACGCGTCGCTGGCAAGGGGCGCGATGAATGAGGCGCGTCGCCGCGCAGTCCCCCCCCCCTCCTCCCGCCATTGCCCTTGTGGGCCATGCGTTGCGCGCGCAGTATAAATGCTGAAATTCCCCCGCGCGTCGCGCCAGTTTGAAGGGGCCCTGGGGCGCGCGAATAAATGGTCACGAGCGACGGAGTTCCCAATATGTCCTTAGTATGTTCTGGGTTTCTGTTTTCCCCCGCACTTCCCATATTTTCGCATACTTTCAGAGGGGTCGACGATTAAATGCGTCTGCGTGTGTTTCCCCCTCCCGACAGTTCCCCCCCCGCGCCGACCCCCCCCCCGCCTCTTCGCTCGCGCGACGTGTTGCGACGTGCAGAAACTCCACTTTCTACTTGTCTGCAATGGGGGGTGGCACGTTTGACTGACAGATCGTTTCCTCGCCGCCTGGCGAACCTGCGTCGGTTTCTGCGCCAGAGCTGAAAGGAGAAATTGGCTCGTCTGGGCCATTGGACCCCCGGGGGGTCGCAACTGGTTGCGCCGCGGTGGCCTCCGGATGGGATGTCCCGATGTTGTTGCCGGCCGGCTGGCTGCCAGTTGCCTGGCCGGCGAGGATGGCCGTGCCCTCTGTGGGGTTGTTTGACCGCGTGTCGCCGCTGCTTGCTGCGCTTCCACCACTGCCGAGTAGCGAACATTGCCCGGAAGCCAAGGCAATGCGCCGCGCCGCGCCGCCGCGCCCCCGCCCAACCAGTGTTGCCTGGAAGTCTCTCGGCTAGATGGCCAAAAGAATGCGTTCGTTCCGGCGGGGGGTCATTCGCCCCTGGGGTTCTGGGCGTTTGGCCTTTCAGCGGCTGCAGCGTCTGCGAAGCTCGCGCTGGCCTGTCTGCGTCCAAATGGCGGTGAAAATTTGGAAGATGAAGATGTCAAAGCCGACTGTTTGGACCTTTCGCCTGGCCATCTCGGTTTTAGCCAGCGGCGAATCGATCCGCCCCCCTACAAGGGCACCGAAGTCGCCAAGCCGGAATCCCGAGTCCAATTGGCGCTCGCGTTCCACACGTTGAAAAACAAACTATCATTTCAGACGTTCACGAGGTACGTAAAAATGAACTGTACTCACGCCGCCAGGTTTACCGCGTAGTTGATTATGTGCGGGGCGATTCGCATTGCTATGCTGCGGGCCAGGCCAACATGGCTTCTTTGCAAGGCGGCCGCCTGTTGTTCGGGTGTAGAACGGCCGCTCGTGACATTAAGCTGCGCGTTTGCCTCCTGGACATGTCCTGAAGGCATCGTCCTCACAAGGTTCCAATGAGGCCCGCTTGTTAGATTAGCGTCGTCAACGCCCAGTTGCACTCAACCTGCAGCAATTCCCAAGGCCACGCATAATATACCAAAGAAGATAATCTTGAGATGCTGGGCGAAAACCTATGGTTACTGTGGGTGGTCGGTTCTCTTTTCGTTGAACTCGGCTTGTAAGCTCCGAACAAGTTGTGGCTGCATGTTCTCGCGCGCTGCGCAATGATTTAGCGGTAGATCAACTAATGAGAAAGCGTGTTTCCAAGCTGGCAGTAGTGGTAGTGCGGAACATGAAGACGTAGAGCCGGAGTACATGAATCTAAGACTGTACCGCTAATGCTGAAAAAAATAATAACACGCACAACGGTCGAATCAAACCTGCTGCCAGGCATCGGCCCGTTGCCAAACACAGGCCAGCTGCCAGGCTGCCCGCGCCAGCTTTGTGGCCTGGCTGACCCAAAGGATGTCGGCGAATGGTCGTCCATATAAGTCAAAAAGAGCGTGCCGTAAAACATGGTGGGCAGAAGGGCCAACCACACATTTAGCAACCAACTTCGCTACCAACCTGAATACACGCCTCCACGACTGAGTCGGGCCAGGGGGTGACGATGAAAGAATCGATGTGCACCGTTGTACGTACTCACATAGTGCCATGGTAATGAACCGTATCCTGATGCCGGCAACTGAACAATGTATGGCCGCGGCTGCGTTCGTTCGTGCTTTGCACTCGCTCGCTCATGCAACTACGTCGCTCCCTTTCAAATGTACCGGATCGGAACCAAAAAACATACATTCTCAACGGCAGCCGTCACATCCGCACGGGTAAGTCGCACCACCTTGATAGCAAAGCGTGCAAGACATCGTAAGCTGAACCCTCCCTTGCCTCAGAAGGGGCCAAGAAAGGGGACTCGAACTTACACGTCGAGTCCTCTGACCAAGACACAAAAACCGCCTCGAACAAGCTCCAAGAAGGCCCCGCAAGGAATCCCCACAAGCATCCAACAAAAACCTCCGACCCATCGTGGCGGCGGGACGGGTCGAAAGACACCAAATGATTTCGCGAACATCCACCCAAGACTCGTTTTATCTAAACCATGGTGTTCACGATAACCTGGAGGGAATTGAATTGCTTCCTGCGGCAACGGGGGCAGCAACAATATCTTTGGCACGCCGCGGTGGAAAACCCGTCAGCGTGGCACTGCTGAAGGAAGCTTCAGACCTCCGTCCAAAACGAGGGAATCACGCGAACGGGCTCCCAGCGGCAGCGTGTCATCCATACTCTTCGTCCCTTCCCGAAACATTTCTCCCATGTCGTTGCCCCCGATCTTAAAGAAGGAAACGAATGCATAAACATAGCCTTTCGGAGGTCCGCACTGATTTCTTGGATCTGTGCTGAACCCCCCTCCCTAACGCGCGGAGCGCACAAAGAGCGAATCAGAAGGCGCCGCCAGGGAGATTCCAGAGCCGATCCGAGACAATCCGTGCGGAATTCCGACAACATATGCTTCTGCAGCTGTTTCCCCACATACACTTTAGCACAAGGGGCTCTTGCTTGGCCACGGGGAAGCAAAAGATCTGCGTGTGCTGGGACCTGTGCCAGCTTTGGTGATGTGATTGCTCTCGCTTCTACGGGTCGCCGTTGGGGCAATCCTTCTTCATTCAGAAGACAAGGAGAGAGGAGGAGGAGGAGAAGGAGGAGGAGGAGGAGGAGGAGGAGGAGGAGGAGCAGGAGCAGGAGCAGGAGGAGGAGGGCAAGGTGGTGGAGGAGGAGGAGGAGGAGGAGGAGGAGGAGGAGGAGGAGGGGAGAGGTAAAGGAGGGGGAGGAGGAGGGGGAGGAGGGGAGGAGGGGAGGAAGAGGAGGGGGAGGGAGGAGGAGGAGGAGGAGGAGGAGAGGAGGAGGAGCAGGCGGAGGAGGAGGAGGAGGAGGAGAAGAGGAGAGGAGGAGCAGGAGGACGAGGAGGAGGAGGAGGAGGAGGTTGAGGAGGAGGAGAAGCCTTTTGCGATCACCTGAGTGGCCGCAGTGCCTCCCCCAGTGGCAACAAGTGGTTTCCAGCGCCCCCCTGCGAGCCTCGGGCGGCCCTCCAGTGGCTCCTCAAGCGCCCCCCTGCGAGCCTCGGGCGGCCTCCGTCGGGGGCTATATGCGAACCCCCCCCTACCCCTACCCCACCCTCTCCCTCTGAAATCGTGGGGGGGGGGGGTAGGGTTCGCATGTGGCCCCCTACTCCGGTGGCCCCCTGTGGCCCCCAGTTGCGCCAGCAGCCCACTGGAGGCGCAGGGGAAAGCCAGACTACGTGACAACCAGAAGCTCCCAAGATCGTCCTGTGCATCGTCGAATCAACCAGCCCCCGTCGTTGCCCACGATCTGCCCCCCCCCCCCCCTGCCAGCGGAGGCTGGCGGCCGTTGCTGCGACACCGCCAGCGGCTGCACGCGCTGGCGCGCACGCGCGCGCGCCGAACGGGCGGGCGATCGCGGCTTGCTTCAAGCAGCCGAGGGGACAGCAATGGAGCCAATTGTTTTTTTGTTATTCGCCATCAAGCCCGTGACTGGCCCCGCCTCCCCCCCCTAAGACGAAGCCAGGGCGAAGACAACATCGAATGGGGATAGGTCGGGGATCTCTGAAACCTGCCGGTTCCGGAAAACATATCGAACGGCGCGGCCTTTTCAAAACGACTCGGATCCTAGTCCTGCCTGAAGCCCCGCCACCCCCTTTCCATCTTTCCCTTCGGTCACATCACGATTCGCGCCGGCGCCGTCGGGGATTGAACCATTCTTATAAGCAATGCCAGACGGCGCCAGCGCGAACGGCGACGTGGCGGGCCTCCATCCCCCTCGGTCCCCACCTTAATCACGCCCAGTATCACCAATGGACAAACCACGGTCTCCGACGACCGCAGAACAGCTGCCGATGAGCGTCCGCCAGATGCGGGCGAAACACGCCCAAACCCCCAGCGCAATGATGAAATTGAAGCCGCGCTGGGACACACAAATAAATACACACAAATAACAGGATTCCCAATCTTTTCATATATATATTTTTTCTGGGTTTTTGTCTTCCCCCCAAATTCCAATAGTTTTCCATATCTCCCTGGGGGTCGACGATTAATTGTGTCTGTGTGTTTTTTTCCCCTCCTGAGTCTCAGGAGGGAAAGTTGTCCCCGCTCTCTGCCTCGACAGGCCTTCGCCGCGCCGGGCCCCGAGACCGTCAGACAACTACTCGGGATGAATAGCTGGTCCTGGGAAAATGGTCGACACTGGGGGGGACCCACCTCCTCCTCCTCCTCCTCCTCCTCCTCCTCCACCTCCTCCTCCTCCTCCACCTCTTCGTCGTTCTCCTCCACTGGGGGGGACAAGGCCGGCTGACCCAAACATGGACAATTACCAACGTCGCATCCCTCCTCTTCCTCCGGCTGCCTCCTCCTCCTCCTCCTCCACCTCTTCGTCGTTCTCCTCCTCCTCATTCCTCCCCTGCGTGCGTCTGCTCCCCGCATGTCAGGCAAGTTCGCGCACCCTCACACGTATCGCGGCCCCAAAAGCAACTCCACATAAGTCCCACTGGCGACGTTCGCACGCATCCGCCCCACCCAATACAGCGCCTCGTGGCCCCATGAAGAGCTGCACCGAAGGCCCTAATGGCGAAGATCGCGCGCGCCCGCCCCAGCAGTACAGCGGTCCGTGTCCCCAAGGCGGGCTCCACCGAAGGCTCCAATAGCGACGTTCGCATGCGGCGTCCGCCACGCCCAGTACGGCGGCTCCTGCCCCCGTGGGGAACTCCGCCCAAAAGCCCAATGGCGACGTTCGCATGCGTCCACCCCACCCAATACCGGCTCCGTGGCTCCATAAGGAGCTCCACCGAAGGCCCCGAACGCGACGTTCGCGCGAGTCCGCCCCACCCAGTGTAGCGCTCTGCGTCCCCGCAGGGGGTTCCACCGAAGGTCCCACTGGCGATGTTCGCCTACGTCCGCGCCACCCAGTGCGGTGGTTCGTGCCCCCGCATGGGGCCCCCCCCGGCGGCCCCAATGGCGGCGTCCGCATGCGTCCACCCCACCCAGTGCAACGCTTCGCGGCCCCATAGGGACCCATAAGGACCCGAAGGCCCCGGTTACGACGTTCGCAAGCGTCCGCCACGCCCTGTGCAACGTTTCGTCACCCCCCTAGGGACCTCCAGTTCGCATGCGTCCGCCACGCAACCCCCAAAACAGAGCTCCGTGTCCCCGTACAGGGTTTCCGCGACGGCCCCATTGGCGAAGATCGTGCGCGCCCGACCCGCGCAATACAGCGGCTCGCGTTCTCCGAGGGAACTCCACCGAAGGCCCCAATGGCGACGTTCCCGCGCGCCCCCGCCACCCAATACTACGTTTCGTCGCGCCAGAGTGAGTTCCACCAAAGGCCACGGTGGCAACGTTCGCGCGCGTCCGCCGCACCCAGCACAGCGCGTCGTGGCCCCATAGGGAACTCCACCGAAGGCCCCAATGGCGACGTTCCCGCACGCGTCCGCCCCACCCAGTACCAGTACAGCGGTCCGTGCCTCCAGGGAGAACTCCACCGAAGGCCCCCGTGGCGACGTTCGCGCGCGCACCCGCCCCACCCAATACAACGTTTCGTGGCCCAACTGGGAGCCCCACCAGAGCCCCCGATGGCGACGTTCACAGGCGCCCACCGAACACAACACAGCAAGTCGTGGCCCCATAGAGAGGTCCACCCAAGGCCCCAAAGGCGACGTCCGCACGAGCCCGCCACACCCAATACAACGCTTCGCGTCCCTGCGGGGGAGGGAGGAGGAGGAGGAGGAGGAGGAGGAGGAGGAGGAGGAGGAGGAGGAGGAGGAGGAGGAGGAGGAGGAGGAGGAGGATGTGGTAGAGGAGGAGGAGGGAAGGAGGTGGAGGAGGAGGAGGAGGATGAGGAGGAGGGGCTCCCCCGTCGGCCCCAACGGCGACATTCGCATGCGTCCGCCCTGCCGAGTACAGCGCTCCGTGGCCCTGCGAAGAGCTGCATCGAAGGCCCCACTGACGACGTTCGCGCGTTCCCGCCCCACCCAGTGCGGCGGCCCGTGCCCCCAAAGGGACCTCCACCGAATGCCCCAATGGCGACGTTCGCATGCGTCCGCCACACCCAGCGGAGGCGGCCCGGCCAAGAGGGGGGCGTCCAAGAGGGGGGGGGGGCGCAAATCATGGCCGGCTGCATGTGCGCGGCCCAGGGGGGTGGCGGGAACGTAATGAAACAAGAGGAGGCGCCATGAAATCTGGGGAAATATCATGGCCCCCGTCATGATATCCACCCCCCCTAGTCATCACCCCTCTCTTTGCCGCCCCCGAACCCAAACTAGCGGTCCGTGCCCTTTGTGGGCCCCGGAAGCGGCAGGGCAGTGGTTTCACCGTTTCCAAAACAAATGTCCCTTGAAAAGGGAAGCGGCATAGAAACGGCTCCAGGATCGGAACCGGAGCGGGAACCTGTAAAAGAACGGCGACGGAACCAGAAAAAAAAACGGCGTCGGAACCGGCAAAAAAACTGCAAAACGGAACCGGTAAAAAACGGCCCTATCGTTTCCAGGGCCCACTAAGTCCGTGCCCCCGTAAGGGAAGGAGGAGGAGGGGGAGGAAAAGGAGGAGGAGGAGGAGGCCATACAGCGGTCCGTGCCCCCGTAAGGGGGAGCTCACCCGGCGGCCCCAATGGTGGTGCTCGCGTGCGTCCACGCAATCCGAATGCCCCAGCTGCGTCGTTCGCAGGCGCCCGCCGCGCCCTGCGCAGCGCTTCGTGTCCCCGCAGGGGGGGGCCACTGAAGGCCCCAGTAGCGACGTTCGCGCGAGCTCGCCCCACCCAGGGAGGAGGAGGAGGAGGAGGAGGAGGAGGAGGAGGAGGAGGAGGAGGGGAGGAGGAGGAGGAGGGGGAGGGGAGGGAGGAGGAGGAGGAGGAGGAGGGGAGAGGGGGAGGAGGAGGAGGAGGAGGAGGAGGATGGAGGGAGGAGGAGGAGGAGGAGGAAGGAGGAGGAGGAGGAGGAAGAGGAGGAGAACGGGTCGCCTAAGCTCTTCGGAGGAGCCCAGTACAGCGCTTCGCGTCCCCGCAGGGAGCTTCATCGATGACCCCAATGGCGGCGCGACGTTCGCACGCGTCCGCCCGAACGCCTCGTGCTTCATAAAAGGAATTCCGCCGAGAACCCCATATGCGACGTTCGCATGCGTCGGCCCCACCCAGTCCATCGCTTCGTGTCCCCGCAGGGAGGCACACCGAATGCCTCAATGGCGACGTTCGCATGCGCTCGCCCCGCCCATCAAAGCGCATCGTGACCCCGTAGGGAACTCCACCGAAGGCCACGGGGACGTTCGCATGCGTCCGCCCCACCAAACATACGCTTTCTGCCCACCCTAGTGGCCCAAGGAATGTTGACGTCGTCCGCGGCTGATACGGGCTGATGTAGCGGCGATGAAGACACTGATGGCCATAACGCTGGGGCACGATTGGCGGAAAAAAGGATGCGGAAGAACTCCTGATCTTACTGATCATGTCTCTCGTTGCAATGATACTGATAATACATATATATATATAGAGAGATATAGATATGAATAACTGAATGCATCCCCCCCGGCCCAAGGTCCCACACCTCCCCGTGACATCTCGGCTCCCCCGGCCTTTCCGGGGAGCCTCTACAGCGCTCCAGGAGGGCCCAAGACGCCTCCCATGAGCCCCCAGAATGCGAAAGGATGGCCTAAGACGCTCCCAAGCAGCCCAAGTCAGCCTTCCGACGGCTCTCGAGGCTTCCAAATGGCCTCCAAAAGATCCCAAGAGAGGTCCGAGAGGCGTCCCGGGACGGCCCGAAGAGACCAGCATCGTCGATGCTCATTTGTATTAAAAATTTGGCTTCTCGTCGCGTTTTCGAGCTTCCAACGGCCGAAGAGCGCCGAAGAGGCTCCCAAGACCGCTCCAAGACCACCCAAGAGACCCTCAGGACGGCCCCAAGACGGGCCAAGAATGCTCCAAGACTGCCGAAGAGGCGCCCAGGACGGCCCCAGAACAGGCCCAAGATGGGCCCTAGAGCGGGAGCAAGAGGCTTCCACAGACCTCCGAGGGGCCTCCGGGACAACCGATAACCCAGAAGCCCCCAACACACCCCCGATCCCTGAGAGGCCCCAAAAAGACCCCGACGAGGCTCCAAGAACAGCCCAGGAGAGCTACGAGAGCCGTCCCGAGAGAGCCCAAAGAGGGTCAGATCGTTGATTTCCAGTGGTTTTTCAAATGTTTTTCGCCTTCTCACGTTTTCCCGCTTCCAACCTTCAAAGATCGAGGATTTTGAAAGAAAAGATTTGAGAAAACCACAGGACGCCGAAGGACAGCCCATGACGATCCCAAGAAGCTCCCAGAACATAAAGAACGGCCCAAGACGCTCCCAAGCAATCCAAAACACCCTATGGACGGCTCTCCACGCTCCCAGGAGGCCT